CATCTTTGTGCGGGGCGGGGGGGTCTTAACCCTTCCGATGCTTTAGCATTGCCAGGCCGTGCCCCCGCGCCACCCACCCCACATCCATCCCTTGGCAAAAAGTGCAATTCTGGAGGCCCTGAGATTTTTTTTTTTTTTTTAATTTGAAAGAAAGGAAACAGGAGAACGCGGCCTTCTCTGCAAAGAGAGAATCTCCTGCAGGGAGGGCGTGAGCTGGGGGAGCGGTGAACAACAAGAATTTTTCTCAGCGCGCTTCCAACCCCCCTTACGCCCCTGCCTCGTCTCGCCCTCTGTTCCTTCTTTCCTCGCCCTATCCTTCGGTGACGGTCCCAGATTGTCTAAGTATTGATTTGTGCCTCAGTTTCTCCGCCTTGCTCTGTCTCCAGGCGCGTGAAGGGCTGTACTGCACCGCCCGCCCCACTGTCCTCCCCATCCCACACCCCCTTGGCGGAGGCAGTTCCTCCACCCCAAACTACTATCTGTGCGTGGCTGAGTTTAGAGGCGGTCCCCCGGTGAAGGTAAAGGCGGGCAGCGCTGGGGTTACGAGGGTTAGGAGTCTGCCTGTGGGGACTGAGCTTTGGAAGAAGCTCCCAGCGTTATGCCCGTTCCCCCCGCCGTCCTCCGTCCCCCGCCGCGTTCCCCCTAGGATGGTCCGGCCCCCTCCACCCTAAGGATTCCCGCCGCACTCCCAATCCAGCATCTAGGGTATGCACCCTCTGGCGGCTTCTTTGAGGAACTGCGTGCCAGGAGGCTTCCACGTTCAGAAAACCCACTTGCGGGAGGAGGGAGTGAAGAGCCTGGGTCCCCAGACCTGTTTCTCCTCCAGTTCCCTTCTGTCCAGGCATCCTTCCCCGTTTAGGGGGAAGAGATGCCTAGATGGGTGAAAGAGAAGCTCAGGCACCTTCCCAGGGCCTGATGTCTTCATAAAGAGAGAATGTCTTGTCACCAGGCCCGGGTTGATGGCTGTCTCCAGTGTCCATGAGGGAGGTGAGGCCATCCTAATCATAGCTTACCCACCGGCATCTGAGCTGAGGCAGGAGTTTCCAGGTCTGAAGCTTTGTGTTCGGCTAATTCCAGATTCTGAGCTGGCTCTGACTCCTTAGGGTGGTGCAGAGCGATCAGCAGCTGGTATGTGGCTGTGCCAAGCGTGGCCCCCACCACCAGCCATTTCCAGCACTGCAAAAGGATGAAAGGGAGAGATTGGGAATGACTCTCCTAGCCTTTCCCCACAGGGACTAGGGACAGTAACAAGAGAACTCCATAAAGTAGCTCCTGGAGAGATGGACACCAGGAGGAGTGGGTGGCATAGGACTTAGATAGGCGGCGACCCCAGGAAAGCTTGGTCTAACCTCTTGCCTTAGGAAATATATGAATATACCCATTTTGCTGATGGGGTCACTCATGCCCAAACAGGTAATATGACATGCCCAAGGACACAACCTTTGAATCTTACTGTTTCAGGGAAAGGGGAGGCAAGCCCAAGACACCTATTTAAGAAGAGAGAGCTCTGGACCCAGGACGGAGCCCTTGGCAGAGCAGAGAGAGGGGAGTGACAGCACCAGAAAAAGCAGTTACCCACCTGAAGACTTCAGGGCCCCAGCCAGCCGCATAGGTGAAAAGTCGTGGGCCCAGGTCCCGGGCAGGATTGAGTGGGGACCTGCAGTTAACACCCATGGATAGCCCAATGGCCAGGATCAGCAGCCCCGCTGCTACGAGCTCCAGACCTGCAGGCACTCATTTGTTCTGTGTGTCCAGGATGGCCAAGATCCCCACAGTCAGGATCCCAGTGCCCAGAACCTTGGAGTTGACAGAGGTGGAGCTGATGGGTCAGCTGCCAGGCGTTCTATCTGCCCTCTGAGCCAAACACTTCCAGTCAACACTATCCCTAAGACACCTGGCTTTGTATATGCTGGCAGCTGGGCTGGGGCAGGGGGAGAGGCAAGATAGACCCAACCTCACATTCCGCCCAGAGCCTCAACAATAAGCTGGAGTCCCAGGGACAGGGGCAAAGGTTGGCGCTCTCCCAGCCCTCTCCCCTCACACCTACCTGATCCAGGAAGCCATTGTTCAGAGACAGAGAGGGGGCAGAATAGGTGGTAAAGACAGAGGTTGTCTCCTGGGGGCCGGTCACTGCCAGGTTCCCACCTGCATAATTCTGTAAGGCATCTGTGGCATAGGGGGACACCTAGGGTTTCCATCTTTGCTCATCCAAAAGTGTTCCGAGGTACCTACCCACACTTAGCACCCCAACCCTGTTCCCTCTGTTACCATAGTAGAGGGCATAGGTGGTTCCCGAAGCACAGAAAGCAGACAACAGCTGCACCAAGGAGTAAATGGGGAGCTTGGCCCCGGGAAGGCGTCCTAGGAGGCGCATAGCCAGGGAGAACGCTGGCTTCAGGTGGGCCCCTTCAGGGATCAAGGAAAGAAAACCAACATCCATCAACTGCCTGCTGCCAACCTTACTATTCTTCCCCATATTCTTAAGGCGTGTACTATTATTCCTGCCGCGGAGATTAGGAAGCTGAGACTTAAGGAGGTCACCAAGGCCACACAGTGAACCAAAGTTACCAAGGTCACACAGTGCAACCAAGGTTTGAACCTGGGTCTGTCTGCTCTTTCCACTAGAGCACGCCGCGTCTCAAGTCTCCAGCCAGGCACACAGATGCAGAGGTGAGCCCCAGAGGGTACACCACAGGATAGCACTCGCCCTCAATGCCCTGCCATAGATCTCTGTAAAGGAGAAATACAGAAGGGGAGGGGTTGGAGGTAGCCAAACGCCTATCTCAGTCCAGGGCACTGGTCAAGCTGGAGGAGATAATGTCCATGAGTCACTGCAGGATCTGCCTTTTCAACATCGCTCACATGCATATCCCGCTCCCTCTGATGACCAGGTTCTACCCTCCTCGCCTGCGACATTGCCATCCACGTAGATGGCTAGTTATGGTAACAGCGAGAGAGCCAGCCAGAAACATGGCGAGGAAGTTGTGCTTGGTTTCCCCATTGGTGACTGTCTGGGCCACAGCCCCCTGAGTGAGGAGCTGGTGGGAGAGGGGGATGAAGAACAGGGAGAATAACAAGGCGGAGAGGTTGGGAGAGTTAACGAAGAGGCCAAGAGAGGGGAACGGACACCAGGGACCAGCAAGAAAGGAAGGGAAAGGGAAAGAACTGAGCTAACTGGAGGATAAAAGCAAAGGAGGGAAGGAAGGGGACAGATGGGAAGGAGCAGGAATCAAAGAGAGGAATCAGGGAAGGAGAGTGATTAGGAGAGACAAGATGGGGGAAAGAAGAGAAGGGATGGAGAGTTGAAGGAAGTGGGGTTCCAGGAGGAAGAGATAAGGACACCAGGAGAAACCCAAAACTTTTACCCATCTCCCTTATCTCCTTCCCCCAATTACCCTACCTACCAGGGGCACAAACACACACCGAGGAACTCCGCCAGGCACTGCTGGGCCACGAGGCTTCGGATCCGCAACCGGCCCCCAGCTCCGGCCAGGAACTGAGTGTAAGCCGTGGTGGAGACACCCTGTCCCTGCAGCCCCGTTGGTCTGTGTAGGTACCTCGTCCAGCACAGCTACTGCCTGCCAGGAGAAAAGATAAGAAAAAGACTTTAAAATCAGCTAGCTGGGCCCCTAAACAGCAGCAAGAGTCTGTGCACGTGTGTGGCTGACGAGGACAGAGGTAACGTGGGCAGGCAGGGCCTCAGGGCTCCCAGAACCTGGAATTTGCTCAGTCTCTTCTGCCCTTTTCCCCATTCCTCACAGGACGAGCTTCCCCCTGTGCTGATGGATTGGGGGACGTACCCTGCTTCACAGACGTTAATTCTTTTGGTCCTCAAGACAGCTGTGTAAAGTAATACTATTGCTCTCATTTTGAGACAGGGCCCCCACAGTGCTGTATTAAAAATCCTGTTTCCTTTGCTGGGCTTCCTCCCACCCAGCTTTGCATTTGAATCCTGCCTTTGCTTGGAGGTTCTATGTAAACTCCATTGTGCCTGCCTAGTATGATTAAGAGTGTTGCTGAGGTAACTCCCTGCTTGTAAACCCCTTTAAAAGTAAGTTGCCTGCCCGCCCTCGGCAAGCAAACTTGATGGCGGCAGCATTGACTGACTCCTTTTTCTTGTACAATGAAATAAAGGTGTCTTTCCTGTTCTCCCACCTCGGTCTCTTGTTTATTGGCCAATACGAGTCATGCTGAGCAAGAACCTGGGGTTTCCACCTGGTAAAATTTCTGGTGAGCCAGCCAGGAGCCATCTGCTTGGTTCCTGAGGTGGATCAGACAATGGACAGGCCCCGATGTCTGGTGCCACCAGGAGATTTCTCCTGGAGACCTTGGAGCAGCTCTGAGAGCCAATCTACCTGGGGACTCAAATACGGCTCTGTGGGAGACATGAAATGTGCTTGGGTTGTTTGGTAAGTACCTAGGTAAGGCCTTAGAAGAGTCCAAGAAGCGGGGGGAATTGACTGCAGAGGGCATAAAAGGCTCAGGTATGTGTTAAAGTTGGTGCACCAGATTAGGTTGTGTGAATGTGTAAGTGTGTGTAGCCAGAGAATGGGGAACATTCAAGGGATCTCGGAATGCTGGCCGCTAAGATGCATCCTTAAAAACTGGGAACAGAGACTCGGACAGACATGGCTCTGGCAGCATGCTTGACCCTTTCCTACTTTTACCTCTTTAAATATATGCCGAATAAAACCTTTCCTTTTGCTTTACTAAACTTTGTGCTGTTTTCACCCTGCAAGAGTTAATGGTGTACTTGTTGCAGGGATTCTAAAACCATGAATCCAGTCAACCTGAAGGAGACCGATGGGGTGAGTGCCCTTAGAAAATGAACCTTCCCTTATTCTTTCTGTTCTCTTTCTCATGTTTTCTTAAGCTTTGTGTGGCATATTGCTTTGAAAACCATTTGCTTGACTAAGAAGCATCTTTCTTAGATTTTTTTGCTTGATGGTTTGGTTAAGAGTGACGTTTACGAACTCTTTTGGTAAACTGCAGTTTAGTGTCTGGATTCAGGAGTTTGAAACATTAAAGAGACAACTCTATTTCCAAAGAGCTCTGGGTCACTATAAGCCGCAAAATTGGGGCACGGGTCAACCAGTAAAATCTATTAGGGCTTCAATCTTACAGTGTAACATTTTTGATAAATAAGCCTGGATTTCTCCCCTGCTACTGAGACGCTGGAGCCCTGGTGGCACAGTGGTTAAGAACTCGGCTGCTAACCAAAAGGTCATCAGTTCAAATCCACCATCCGCTCCTTGGAAACCTTATGGGACAGTTCTACTCTGTCCTATAGGGTCGCTATGAGTCGGAATCGACTCGACAGCAAGGGGGTACTGAGACACTGGTTTAGGGTTCATATTTAAAAACACTATAAATTAAGTATACTAAAAACAATTTAGAATTTCAGTGGCCACTGTGGGAAAATGAGCTTTCCATTTGTGTTGTACTGTCTTTTCCTTTTTGGGGAACTTTTGCTTGATGCTCAGTGTTTGTCAAAAGGTCTAATACTCCTCCACCTGAGGCTCTGGTAAGTTAATAAGTTTTATCTAAAACCTGTTTTGTTTTGTTTTTTTCTGTGAATTGAGTCAAGAGAGTGAGGGCGTGTCAAGATCAGACCTCTCCAGCCCCTAGTCCCCCTAGTCAAGAATTAATGGATTCATTTACAAAATTGCTAAAGAGCTTTGGTATTTACCGGGTAGAAAGCCTTTCAAAATGCCTAGGCCAACATAAACATATGTAAATGAATTAGGATAGCCCAATCTCATCCTCCTTGAGTCAAGAAAGTAAGGGCGAAACAAGATCAAACTTCCCCAGCCCGCAGTCTCTGAAATCATATAGCTCCAGGGAAACTTGCAAACGGTGCCTTCCAACTGAGTGGAGACTTTTTTAAGACAAAAGAAAATAAGAAAAAATTGCTGCTTTACTGTATCTACCAAAAATTGAGGCGATCTCAATCATAAAAGAACCGTAAACAAGTTCTCTCTATTGTAAGAGAACTCTAAAAATCAAAAAAATAAAAATCACAATGAGACACACCCAAAATGGCCTAAAAAAATGTTTCCACCCCTAGCCAGAGATAAGATTATATCCATCTCAATGAATTGGACAGTTGAACCGAAGCTTTGTGATTTCCAAAGCTGGTTGATAAAATCTTTAAGGACAAAAATTAGATTAAGAAAAATAGTAAAATTTGAATAAAAACTTGGAATGTTTGAACAAACTTCATTTCAACAATTATGTTTTATGGAATACAAGCTTAAAATAATTTCCAAGAACTTTTAGGTAATTTTTAGATATTCAATTGAATAAATAGATAATCCTCATAATTTAAGTTTATATACTTTCACTTTTTATAGCACACACACACACAAAGATATATATATATTTGGATGTGCTAATGAGTGTGTTCATTTTTGCCATTTTAAAAAAGATGTACTTAGGAGATATAGAACAAAGACAATGTTTCAGAAGTTTATTAAAAAGAAATTTGTTTAATATGGTCAAAAGTTTTACCTGTCTGACTAAAGTTTAATGGTTTAATTTATGACATTTTTAGGAGCTTTAACGTTAAATAATATATAAACAAAGAATTGGGTTTCTCGCTGCAAAATAAGAAAAATTTTCTTTGATATCTGAGTTAAAGTGTTAATTGATTCATTGTGTAATCTGCCTAGAAGACGAAGGTTTAACCTGTCATTAAAATAAAATCCTGAGTTAAAAACAAAGCCACATGGCTTGAGGAAAAAAAAAAGTTTTATATAAAAAAAGGTTTATTTAATATATTATAAAATACATGGAATGTGTAGTCAAAATCAAGAGAAACGCCTGATTCTCTTTGGGTCAAAATTTATATGTTAGTATTTCCTCTTACGTTTTTGCCTAATATTAGACAGCAAATGCATATTCTTATGCCATAATTTTATTATTATTTCTTTATTGCTAACTTGGCCGCAACTTTATTTTTTTTTAACGTAGCATCGAAGCCGATGGTTTGACGGGGCATTCACATTGTTTGCTTATGAAGTCTTTTTATTACTATTCAGGTATTTAGAGACTTGATAATCTTGGTATATCCTGACTATATGGCATTACGTCTCAAAATTATTGTATAATGTATTATACCTGAAGCTCTTAAAAAATGAGGTTAATCATTATATTTAAAAATATTTTTGTCTAAAGTTTTTTTAAACTGACTTTATTTGGTTCTGAATGTTTTTATAATAAAGAGTATTATGTTTATAAATTAATTATGGCCATATTAAGTTTTGTTGCCTGCAGATAAGTTTTTACTTTGCTGATTTGCTGAAAACGTTTGACCAAAATATCTCAACAAAAAGATGGACTATATTAGACTTATGAAAAGGACTGTGACTAGACTCAATCAACAGTTCCAAAACTCTTATATAGAAGCTGATGGGTTCATAGACTGCGGCTGATCCAAAATCACATGGAACAGAAAATTAACTACGTAAGCCTGAGTAAAAGAATACTATGGTTTTTATGTGGCAATATTGCTGATGATGGTTTAAGGTCCTAACTTCGGGATGTAAGAAACCATTTTCCTTTCTCCTAAATTATTTAACTAATGGGTTTAGATACTGTAACTCTTTTATTTTTTTATTTTTATTTTTATTTTTTTAAATATTTTATTGTACTTCAGGTGAAGGCTTACAGAACAGATAGTTTCTCATGTAACAGTAACACACATGCTGTTTTATGACATTGGTTAACAACCCCACAACATTTTAACCCTCTAAATTCTCAACTTTTTTTTTTTTTTTTTTGGTGAAAATACACATAGCCAAAGATACGCCATTTCAAAAAATTTTTTTTACATACACATTTAAGTGACATTGACTACGCTCTTCTAATTATGCTGTTATTCTCACTTAAGATGAAGGCTTATAGGACAAAATAGTCTCCCATTTAACAGTTACTACAAATGTTGCCCTATGACAATGGTTAACAATCTCACAACACATCAACAATATCCTTACTCTACTTTGTGTTCCCTATCATCAGCTTCCTACTCCCCTTCTGCCTTCTGGGCCTTATCACTGGACTCCTGTACCTCATTACTCTCATTGTTTTACTGGGCTGTCCACTCGCAGGCTGAACAGTGAACCTCGAAGGTAACTTCACCACTGAGCTAAAAGGGTGTCTGGGGGCCATACTCTCGGGGTTTCTCCAGTGTCCTTTAGGCCAGTAAATCTGGTCTTTTTTTTTTTTTTTGTGAGTTAGAATTATGCTCTACATCCTTCTCCAGCTCTGTTCAGAACCCTCTGTTGCGATCCTGGTCAGAGCAGTCAGCGGTGGTAGCCGGGCACCATCTAGCTGTACTGGACTCAGTCCAGTGAAGGTCTTGGTAGCTGTGGACAATTAGTCCTTTGGACTAATCTTTTCGTTGTATCCTGTTCTCTTCATTCTCCCTTGCTCCCGAAGAGATGAGACCAGTGGAGTTAGATACTGTAACTCTTGAATTAGAAGTTCTTATTGGTAAACTTAGCAAAGTTGTAAATATCATAGCCAGAAGAGTTTCTGAAATTAATTCAGGTTATGATTTTACAAAATAGAACAGCATTAAAATTCCTATTCTCTAAAAAACAACAACAGTTTTGTGAGACTTCTGCTTCTGAGAAAGTGACCCCTGACTGTTCATAGGTAACCCAGGGAGAGGCAGCCGGCCCTCAGGAAGAACGCTTAATATGTTTTAAACAGATTAACTGAAGACCTCCAACGGGAGAGGTCCATCCTG